TTCAAAAACATGTAAGTGACACATATATGACACACTCCTATGTTTTTAAACTTATAAATGCCTCATATATAACACAAATATATAATAGAACATCAATTAACATCAAAATTTAAATTCCATACTCCATAACAAATTTCTTAACAAAAAAAACTTGATAATAAAAAAAACAAAATAGAAAAGTCTGTAGTTAAATAATTAAATTACTAATTTCTTCTTAATTAGCTACTACATCAAGCAAAAAAAAATCATAAAACAGATAGGCTAATAACTTTGAACATCCAAAGCTCCATTAAAATTACTACCACTAGTATAGTCACCATCATCTTCATCAGTGTCTTGAGTATCATCATCAAACAATGTCTCAATGAAACACCTTCTTCATCATTAATCAATGTTGGATTGCTTGAAGTTTCACTTTCACCTAAGTTAACATTTCCACCACCACCACTTCGCACAACATTAGTTACAACAACATCAACTTCTACAACATTATTAATAATAACATCATCTTGTTCAACATTAACTTCAGTTTGCACATTTTCTTCATTAGGATATTCAGTTATCCATCCATCATATTCACTTTTTAACTTCAAATTATACATGATGACATAAACCAAAATTTTCATCTTTTTTGATGCAACCTATTTCTTCACTTTGTATGAACATAAAAGTAAATAATGATTCAACTTAATGTTTCTAAAAAAAAATTAAAATCAAGTCTATAAACAAAGAAGTAATAATTTATTGTCATTTCAAAGGAACTCCAATTACGTTCATAATCAGAGGAGCTACAAGTTAAGCTTATAACACAAATTACAAACCTATTCAATTTTGAAGTCATAGTCCAAGATAAATCCCACCATTCAGCGGGTAACATATCCTTCCTAAGCTATTTTTTGCCATAAATCATAAATTTTCTAAATTGTTTTGTCACATGAAAATTGATACATGCAAATTGATACATGCGGATTGAGATCAGTGGACCTGATTGGACAATGGCGCGTCACCTTTACACAAGAGGACATACATGAGAAGCGTCCAAGTAAAACATATAAGAAATACTTACACAACAAATGATTGATTTACAAAAACGAACACGAATAAAACAAGAGACAGAACAAACTTACACTGTCAATGAAGGGAGTAAGAAACTTTGTTGAAACAAAAGACTAGGAGAGAGACTTTCAAATTATTGTACAAGTAAAAATAGGTTTTTTTTTATAAAATAAAATGAAATATTTTGGAAAACTTGGTCCTTCTTTGGTTTTAAAAAAATTTAGAAAAAAAAACTTATAGACTCGCGATTCTATACGAGTTTGTGCGAGTCTATCCAAATTTACTTGAGTATATAAAAATGATTCTATGCACGAGTCTACTCATTTATGCTTCCTAGACTCATAAACTCGTAGAGTTTACGAGTCTGCCCACGAGTTTGAAAACCATGTAGACGCCTATTTTTTGGTTGTGTCACTCGTTTTCTGAATTACTCGCCCAATTCGTGAGAGGGTAGGAAATGACGTGTACCAGTCAGAGCGGTTCAAAGAGGGAGTCAATCGGGAATTCATCACATTCTCCTGAATAATATGGGATTAATTGCCCATTCCCGCACTCCTATAAGCGGTTTCTACTTTCTGGGAGCTTTAGGTCTAAGGTCAAGGACTTCTATAAATACTTCAACACTAAGATTGAGAAAGGAATCCAATTTCATGACACAAAAAAAATCATATACATAGCTTCTCACCTACCTACGCGAGCTAGATCTAACCTTACCAAAAAAACCTTAAAACAGCCCTTAATCATTAGGGGTTGTCATGTATTAAACTTTTAGCAGGTATATTTTTCAATCAACAACCAATGATTTTCTTTGACCTTATTTAAGATGGTTAGTTTTAGTTTTGTTTGATGACATTCTAATTTATAGTCTTTACTTAAATTATAACATGCGTCAGTTGTTGTTTATTTTAGATTTGCTTACTTCAAATTAATTTGTAGCGAAATCATCTAAATATATATTTGATGTTTCTAGTGTTGATTATTTAGGTCATATTATTTTGATCAATAGTGTTATCTCAGATCCAACGAAGATTCAAGCAATAGACTTTTCTGAGCCACAATCACTCATGACCCTCATGAGGGTTTTCAGGCCTGATAGGCTTTTATAAACAGTTTATCTGTCATTACGCCTCTCATGCAGCTCCGCTCACCAATCTTTTAACATTTAGTATATATATGTTTTCATGAAGTACAGAAACAGACACATCATTTACAATATTAAAGTAAAAAATGACAAAAATATTAATTTTGATTCTTCCTGACTTCTCAAAGATCTTCATTCTTGAAACAGATGTATTATTTTATGTTAAGAGGGTCATTTTTTAACTTTCTTCAATAAAAAAGAAGTGCAACCACAGACAAGGATTCTCTGATTTTTGAGAGAAAAAATTAGAGTAACTTCAAACAAACTATATATGAAATAAAGGTGATAATAATATTGATTTTGGAAGGTAAAAAAATATGAGAGAAAGTAAATTATGAGATAGTTAAAAAATAAAAGTTAAAGAATCCAAACTCTTTCAACCACGTACAAATTTATTGACATATGTTCGCGAGATGTACATGTACCACATCACATTTGCTCAACTTTATTGAAATAGGCGTAGAAAAATAGTAATATTAATTGAATTGAATGATATGCTGTTTTTTCTCTATCTAATTTAGTGACAAATTATAGGTAGTGGATTCTAACTACACTTGTGTGGTCCTGGTTTGTTTATGCAACTCCAACCATTCTTATATATTGAGAATAAATTGTTTCTGTGCATCACCATTCTTATATATTGAGAATAAATTGTTTCTATGTGATGCATGCATACCATTTAATTTTAGGAAAGATAATTTCCATCGTTGTTATGATTTGCAATGATTATAAATTAGAGGGTTTGTCTCTTTCTCAAATTGGTTTGTGTTTGTAATGATCCGTATTTACTCATATGAATAATGGTACTCATATTAATTATACTAGTATTAATTATATGTGGTTATTTTAAGGATAAAGTCAATAAAATGTTTGAAACTTTTTATTTTAAATGATGAAGGAAATCCACGTTACGGTAATTTGTAACTGTTTATACAAAAGCATTTATGGTTAAAACTTTTTATGATATTAAGGTATTTATTATTGTGCATGAGATTAAAATTATATATTTTTTATTTATGAGATCAAATTATTTCTTTCATATAACTCAATTTTATTATAGTACTCGCTAATTTATGACAATAAATTATTATAAAAACTACATATATTATCCAGATAGAACAAGATATTATGACAAAATCATATATTTACCAACATTAATATTTTTTTATTTAAATGTAATTTTGGTCTCTTATATTCATTTTGATATTTTTTTAGTTTTTATTTTAAAAAAAATCAATTTATTAATTCTTTGATATCAAATTTCATGTTTTTTTTTGTGGTTCTAATTTGTATATGTGGCATTGAAACATATGAGTTGATATCTTTTTAATGTTGCCATGTCATTAAAGTTCAACATAAATTTTGTTTTAAAATTGAAGTCAATTTAATTAATTTCATTTTTATTTAAAATTAAAAATGAATATTTATAAATAGAATCATAATATAAAATCCGTTGTCTTCTTCTTTTGTGTTCATCTTTGTATTTTTTGTGAAACCCTAACAATAATTTCTTTAATTCATCTCAAATCATTTGTGTTTTCAGTCAATTTAAACCAAACAATTGTTATTCATCTTGTCCCAATGCTTCAAAAACACCATCCACTAAAAACGAAAATCGAGACAGTGAAAAAAAATTAATGATACAAAAATTGTATATGTATTTGCATTGTATCAACTTGAATGAGCTTTCCTTGAAACTAACACAGATCATCATGTCAGTTCTCACAGATAGTGGCGATTTATCTAGTGTAAAGTTTTGGTGATGATTTTGATAGGAGACCAACAACGGTTTTCTCTCTTTCATCATGACTTTTTCTGTATTTTATGATCAAAAATATCTTTTTTAGATTACAATTCATTTTCATGTTCATGGACAATTTTTGGATATTGCGGTTCTTGAAAGAAGTTGTGAGTTGGATCTGAGAATAAAATCAATTTTTGAGTGTTATTGTTTCTTTAACAATTTTTAGATCTTTGGTGTTTCTCTTGAAATGTACTATCTTCGTCTCTATGATTTTTTATTTTTAAATATTTCTGGATTTAGGAAGAAGATAGAGATGAAGAAAATAATTTTTATTTTTTAAAATATAAAAATAAACGATTTTCTGAATTTATGATTGTAAAGCATTTTTTAGATATAAAGCATTATTTTTAAAATAATTGAGTTGAAATTAAAATTTGATTATATTTTCAATTTATGATTAATAATTATTTATAATTTATGGTTGCATTAAAATTTGAATTCGAAAAAAAGATGATAAATTTATAGATTTTAATGATGGAATTAAGTTTCTAATTTAAAAAATATATATAAATTATTTTGAAAACATGTTTCAAAACATAGTTTGATTAGATTTTAATGATGTGACAACATTTAAAAGATGTCAACTCATACATTTCAATGCCATATTTGCAAATGAGCATGACATGTGAAAGGGGACCAAAAAAAAATAAGAAATTTGATATCAATGGATTAAATAGTTGTTTTTTTTTAAAATGAAGATCAAAAAGTTGTCAAAATGAATATAAGAGAACTAAAACTGCATTTAAACTATATTTTTTCTATGCAATGGTAAATAAATAAAATGAATATTTGCAAACATTAACTAATGTGAACCATAATTTTTTTCTAATAATTTGCAGACAATAATAACGTAGTTTTACATATTTTTTAATGTTTAATAAATTTATCTATAAATATTTTTAAATTTTAAAATGTTTCTTGCCATTTCTTGATAGTTTATTTATAAACTACAGTATTATCTTTCACGAAATATGCAACGTAAATTTACATTAAATAATTATGCTCTTCTTTCACAATAAGGAGAATGAAATAGTGTCGTCGACGGCAAGAGGTTGGGGATATGTCCGACAACTATTTTTTTATGGTAGTGATGACTTTAAGGATGAGGGGGATCTCAGCCAGGGTGGCACAAATGGGGGGAGGGGAGAAGGGGCGAATGGATTGAAGTTACATCAAGGAGAAGGAAAGTGTTTCGATTGGAATCAAGGGGTCAGGACATGTTTATGGGCAGCAAACGACAACGAGAAATACAGGCGGCGAACTTCAGAAGGTATGTAACACTCGAGGCTAATCAGTCGTTGTTATATAACAAATTTCTTGCTTCATGAAGAGGGCAGAGAGTGGTCGTTAGTGAGAAATTCACATCGGAATGAGAAAGATAATGAGGTTGAGCATGTGTGGGACAACATGGTTGAAGAAAGACTTATAAGGATTGATTGATACTACCTATTGTTAGGGTTGGTTGAAAATATATATGTTAAAGAAGTCTCACATTGTTTAGTTTTGTGAATGAATAGGGAGTCCAAGACTATATATAAAATACAAGTTCTTTGAAGTTCCACATCGCTTAATTTTGTGAAGGAAGAGATAGTTCAATGCTATATATATAGGACTCAAGTTCTTCGTTACAAGATGTATCAGTCAAAAGCACTTTAAACTTATATTTAACTTTCTTCGTTCTCTTATATTCTTATATTAGAGTGTTGTGAGATGTAGTTAGATATGTGTTTTGGAGGGTGTAGGTAGGGATGGTAATGAATACTCATGGGCACGGGTACTAGTCTGTGCTATCCATTATGTTTAGTAATATGATACTCGTACCCGCTCCATACTCGTGCGAGTATCTGTGAATTTTGAGAAATCTATGAATATTTAATGGATATCCATGGATACTATTATATATATATATATATATATATATCTTTTAAAGAAAAAAAATAATTTAAAATTTAACACATTAAAATAAATCACATTCATTTTATTACTTCTTTTATAAAATAATTATATATACTAGATTCAACAAAATAATAATAATAATTTCATATTCAACAAAATAATAATAATAATAATAATAATAATAGTTTCATATTTAATAAAATAATAATAATAATTTTAGATTAAACAAATTAATATTTAAGTAATTTTGCTAATTATTAACGTATACGGATATCCGCGAATACGTGTACAATTAAATTTGTAAATGTGCCCATAAAGAAATGAGTAACTAAATATCTGTTTATTTTATCAGAGGTTACCCGTTAAATAATTCAATATGTACTCGTGATGGATTTTACCCGCAGGTGCCCACAGATACAAGTATTTTTCCATCCATAGGTGTGGGTGTACCGGGGGGGGGGGGGGGGGCTAGGATTATTAGAGGTATATTATGTGTTGTAACAATTTTCACATAGTGCTATTCTCTGGTTGTTATTGACAATGATCGTGCTTTTTTCTCTTATTTTAGAGTTTCCAGGTCATGACCTTGTGTTGTGATTTTGTTCTTTTATTTTCTCTTTGCCAGTTTTTCCCAACAATAGATATCAAAGCCTAGTTTGGCTTGGTGGGGGTAGGGATGGCAACGGGGCGGGTCGGGGACAGGTTTAAGCACATCCAGACCCGCACCCGCCACTCAGACCCGCCCCGCCCCGCCTCCAAACCCGATCGGGACTAATATTTATTCCCCCGCCCCCAATAAAAAATGGGTTTCCCCGCACCCTCCCTACACTCGCCCGAATAAAATATTAATTTTTTTTAGAATTTATATTTTTTTTAATAAAAATAAAAAATCAATAATTAAACTAAATAATTAATTATTTTAAAAGTATATTTTATGTTTGATATTTTTGTTTAAATTGTATTTTCAAAAAAATAAATAATAATTCTAATAAACATGATATTATAATATTAAAAAGTAAAAATGAGTAATAAAACTATTAAAAATAAATTAAATTTAGTTAGCGGGTGCGGGAAGGGTGCAGAGCGAGTACTAGCATCACTCGCCCCCGCCCCTATAAATAAAAACCGGATTTTCCCCGCACCCGCACTGGCCCTCGGTTAAACCGAGTTTTCCTTGCTAATTACGAGGCGGGGCGGGTTTATTTGCCATGCCTAGGTGGGGGAGTCTGAGCTGGATCCGATGTTGGATTCTGTTATAAGATGTGGGAGACTCACACTCGTGGAAAAGAATGTTGAGTGCAAGCGTAAGTGGCTAAAGTCCCACATTGCCTATGAATGGGTAGAAAGTTGTGTTTATAAGAAAGATGACACATTTACCTAACATTTTAAGGTTTTAGATGGAGATGTGGTGTCTCCTCCTCTTTCGGTCCTGGAGCCTTGATCTCATTTGTGCTCTAGGCTTGCCTAGACTCCCAACACATATACCAACAAGATGCATTTTTGTTTTCAGTAGCCTAACAAATAAGAACTCCATAGTTAAGTGTGCTTGACTTGGAGTAGTATTTGGATGGGTGACTTTTTGGGAAGTTTTTTGGAAAGCGTGTGAGTGAGGACAAAGCATTCTAAAAATACACGTGTTAGTTTATGGGGTCAGTCGATAATCATGAAAGTAGTCTAGGGAGTTACAAGGTACAGTCAGAAGTACACGTCTGATAGTTACATGGAAATCAGTCGTGGTTACGACAACAACAAAAAGGTTTTTCATATAAGACATCGATATGATCTTTCAATGAATGATGTATTCAGGGGACGATAACGTATACGTAAGGATTTGACTCATGCACGGGCTGCTACACGTTGGATTAATTACGACAATCGATTTTATCGGTAAGATGTAGGATTGGATCTAACTCGAGCATCAATGGTGTCGTTCTATTTTTCGAATATTCTTGGTCATCTTAAGTACATTGATCTAAGAAAGGAACTTGAGGTATGTGGAATTTTATCTGATGTTTTTGTTTCTTGAAATAAAAGAGCAAGGGGGCAATTGTTTAGATTTGCTCGATTTGCCAATGTGAGAGACGTGGGAAAATTAAGCAAATCTTTAAATAATGTTTATTTCGGAGACTATATAATGTATGTGAATGTGGCTAGTTATGATAGGTTTGAGAAGTCTGATGTGAGAAAAGTGGTGTGGGCAAGGGAGAAGAAACTTATGAGGAAAGAAATTATTCGAGAAACTTGAAGAGAAGGAAGAAGAAGGAGTTGGAGAGGGTGAAGGAGGAGGAAATAAGGAAAGAAAAAGAAAAGGAAAAAATTAAAGAGGATAATGACGAGGGTGAGGAAATTACAACGTAAAAGAAAAGGGTGGAGGATCAGGAGGTTTATTCAAAGGTGAATGTTTAGGCAATTTCGTACGTAGAGGTAGTGGAAGGGGTCATTAATAAGACAGGGAGGGGAGATGAGGGAAAGGAAGACAACCTACCGGTGGGTAGAAATTACGAGTTTATTCCTGAAGACATTGATTGGGCTTGTAATAGAGTGATGGCTAGGATTCGAGATGGAGTTACAATTTTGGTCCTTCAGTAAACTATATCTGATAATGAGTTTCTTGATTTTTTGGTGGCTCCGTTGGGAGGTGACAAAAATTTCTTGTATTTTACAGGTAAGACAGAAGTGATGTCTGTTTTTAATGAAGCGACATACTTTTTTTAGTTCATTTGTGTATGATTGTCATGCTTAGTTGAAGGATATAGGCATGGTTTATAAGAGAGGAGCATGGGTACATTACTATGGTATCCCATTACATGCTTGGAATGAGATATTCTTTGGGGAGTTAGATGTAGTTAAGGGAAGATTGTTGAAAATTGATGAGTCTATAATTAATAAATTAAGGTTGGATCATGCTTGTATTTTTTATCACTACAAAATTGGTGAGGGAAATAAACGAGGTTGAGGATTTTTGGGTTTTGGCAGTCAGTGGAAGAGGTGAGGGAGTGGGTGGATCTAATAAAGCTTATTTCTTTTAATGTGATAGGGTTGAGAGGGTGGGAGAAGAGGAAAGAGGTTCATAGGTTGATTAGATAAAAATGGTTGTTGATGGTTTGCATTCAGGAAACAAAAATGACAGGGATAGGTGATTGTGTGAGTAGGTATCTGTGGGGGGTCCCCTGAGGTAGGCTACTCTTTTCAACCTTCTGTATGGGCCTATGAAGTCCTCCTGACTTTATGGGATACAACTGAGGTGGATGTTAAAATTTCAATGAGCTTCTAGAATATTTTGATTATTAAATGGTGCTTAAAAAGTGAATGCACGAGTTTGTTATTTCCAATGTTTATGCTCCTTATGATGGTGTGATAGGTTATCTTTATGGAATCACTTGCGTGTTCTGCTTAATGTTGATGGGGGGGGGGGTGTCGCTTGGTGTGTGAATGGTGATTTTAATGTTATTCGATTGACTGGGGGAAGAAGGTGTAAGGTAATTGTTGATCAAGCGGAGGATTATACTCATTTTGATCAGTTTATTGATGCAAATTTTCTGGTTGATTTACCGTTATGTGGGAGAAGATTCACGTGGTATAGAGGGATGGTCTTTCTATGAGTCATCTCGGTCATTTTTTATCATCAGATGCTTGGGTTTCTTTTTTGCCAAATTTTATCTAAGTGGCTCTTCCTCACTATATTTTTGATCAGTACGTCCAATTATGATGACTAATGACAAAGATAATTGAAGTCCTAGGACAACGTGAATGTTAAAATATTGGGTGGATTTACCAGGTTATAAGGAGTTTGTGAAGGATTAATGACTCTCGTTTCAGGTGGATGGTTGGGGAGGTTTTGTGTTGAAAGAGAAACTGAAGTTGATAAGTTTGAAATTATGGCATCACAACCACTCTCAAAATCTAAAAGGCAAGATCAAAGCGATAAAAGAACATATTTATTTCTTGGAAGCTAAAAGAGATGAGGTAGGGATGGAAACAGATAGGGTTGGGTGCGGGTTTCACACTACCTAAACTCGCACCCGAAATCACCACCCAAACCCAAACTCAAAGGTTATTCGAGTGGTAAAGCAACACCCACGCCCACACCCGTTGGGTTTGGGTTTTTCCACCCAAACCCGAACCCGCGACATAAACACAAAAAATACAACAATAACATTGAAATTTGAAACACAAGATTTCCATCAGGGCCTCTCAAAGAAATTAAGAAATTAAATTACAACTTTACATCAAGTTTGGTAACATTACAATTAAAATTAAGATCTTAAATATTTACACTTATATATATAGGGGTACTTATGTATTTAAATGTCTAAGCGGGTGTGGTTTCGGGTGCAGGTTTGAGTGAACCCAAACCCAAACCTGAACCCAGTCAACTCGGATTTTCACCTATTGACTCCGGGTTCGGGTGGGGGTGGGCTCCAGGGGTTTGGGTCTGCTTACCATCCCTAAGATGAGGTTGATTTAGAGGAGGATGATTTGAGTGAGTTACATTCTTTATCGACATAAATCCTTTCTTTATCCAAATTATATTCAAGTATCCTGTGGCAAAAATCTAGATTACTTTGGCTAAAGGAGGGAGAAGCAAACTCAAATTTCTTTCATGGTATCATGTCCTCGAGGAAAAGGTCGAATGCTATCATCTCAATTTCAGTTAATGAGGTTCGGGTAGAGGGTGTCAATGGAGTGATGAGTGCTTTTTTTTTATAATTATTTTCATAATAATTTTTAGTCAGTAGCGGTTGATCATTCAAGGATGGAAATTCTTTCTTTTAAATCTATCTATACAAAGGAGGGGTCGATATTGACGCTACCTTTTTCAAAGGTTGTGATTAAACAGACAGTTTGAGATTGTGACAGTTTTAAGGACCTGGTCCAGATGGAATTATCTTGCTTTTATAAAATATTTTTGGGATGTCTTAAAAAGATGAGTTGTTACGCTTCTTTACTGACTTTCCCCATAATGGAAAGTTGACCAAATGCTCAAATAGTAATTTTATAGCTTTGATTCCAAAAGTTAAAAGTCCTCGGAAGTTGTCGGAATTTTAACCTATTTCTTTGGTCAATTGTCTATACAAAATTATATCTAAGATTCTTGCTAATAGTTTGAGGCTGGTGATTGAAAGTGTTATTTCTAAGTCTCAGTCAGCTTTTGTTAAAAATAGGCAGATTTTGAATGACATCCTTATAACTACTGAAATGGTGGAATATGCGCGGAGTTTGAAAAAAGAATTATTATTATTATTATTATTATTATTATTATTATTATCATTATTCAATGTTGATTTTGAAAAGAAAAAAATCCTATAACTCAGTGGACTGATGGTATTTGGATGACATTATGTGTAAAATGAAGTTGTTGTAATTGGTTTTAAATTTAAGCGTCGCCACCCTTAATTTTTATCCAAAGGAAGGAAATATAAAGGATAACCCTAAAAGTTAGAGATTTTAGGTGTTTTGGACTTGATTCTAGACATAGGGAAGGTGTTAGGCACCCCTCATCTGCCTTGTTCACAAGGATACTAGGGTTAGAAGCGCGGTCTTAGGAAATAGGGTTTTAATTTTTATTAGGGGAACTCGCCACGATTTTTGATCGTATGCCTGCGTATCCTCTTGGGAGGAATCAGAGTCCCAATTCGTAGTTCGCAGTTGGTTGATGTTTTTTATGGATTGCGTAAATTGATTTCGAATTATCCTTGAACCTTGTCTGGGTTGTAAGTTGAGTAATCATAGACGCAGTTCGCAGTTAATTTGAAAATAATTCTCTTTAATCCTTTTTTAAAAATGATCGTGGATTTTTATTAGGTTATTAAAAAAATGATTTGAATTGTTGGTTAGCTGTTTTAAGTTTGATTGATCGAGTATGGTCGGATACACAGCGGGGTAGTCTGATATAGTCTCCTCATCACGTGGTCAGATATTGACCATGTGTCATTCCTGGATGAAATATTTGATAAATTGCGTGGGGTTTAATATCTTTATAGAATATTAAATTAATTAATTGAGACACTTCAAAAAAGAATAAAACTTGTGTGTTAGTGAAATCTATCTACTTAAATATAAAAAAATAAACAAAATACATGAATAAGTTAAAATCTAACTAAAGTAATAAGAAAAAAATAAACTAAGAACAAAAATAAGAAGTAGCTGAACGTACCGCCTCCTATTAGTATTCCATTTTTAATTTTTCTTTATACAAAACAAAATAATAGTTAATAATTATATTAATCACCTTACTTTGACTTTTGCTTAAATATTAAAATTCCCAACCATAGTATGACACATGGATTAATTGTTATAATAATAAAAGACAATTAACATATGTTATATACCCCATATAAAATGCATCAGATTTCTCTTCTCTCTCATTACATTGCAAACTCATAACAGAAACCCTTTTTCCAAATCGATTTCCTCTATCTCAATCAACCCAAATCATTCTCCATTTAATTAGAAAAAAAGTTTAAACAATACGATTTGAAGCACGAATCAAAAAGAAAAGGAAATAGTACCGTCAACGGGGGCAACAACGATTTGGATTGTGCCTCAGGTGAGTCTAAAACCGTTGAGTTTGATAGATTTGTGGTGGTGATTCTTGCATGTGGTTGATGACGGTGCAATTGGAAGACCGGGGTGGTTCATTGGTGATTTATGGGAGATGCAGAATCAGAGGCGTGGGCAGAGTGAGGTGTCGCCGGTGGTTTTTCACTTCTTCTGTTTGCGTTTTTTTGGTCTGGATGAGAGTAAGTGGTGTTGTTGAGTAGGGACTGCGTTGGATCTTTTGGTTTCTATTCTTTTTTCAATTTTTTCTATGGAGTTGCTACTGTTTTCTGCACACACAAAAACAGCTATGTACAAAGATTGATGTTATAATGTTAGTAGGAACCAATTTTATTTACAATTGAAAAAGTATTGGATAGATTTGAAATAAGATTGTGAGGTTTATGGAAATTTTGCAGGTGAAATTTGGAATTAGTTTTGCCCATGGTGGAGGGATAGAAATATTGATGAATGGGAAGGTGGTTTCAATGTGGTGAAAAGTGGAAGTTGTGTAGTTTGTATTTTTTTCTGGAAAAAAATAATACTACACGTGAGAGAAAAATAAAATAATAAAAAAATATTTGATAATGATCAAGAATAAAAAAAACATTCGATAATGATCAAAAATAATCAAGAATACTACACGTGAGAATTGGAAGGTGGTTTCAATGAGTGAAAGTTTCTCAGGTGTGTCGTGAGTGAGAGAGGAAGAGTATTTTTGTGTGTGAAAAATTGGTCTCTCTATTATGTAAAATTGAGACTTATTTATAGCAAAAAATAGATTAATAAATTAAAAATTTAAATTAATTGTCATAAATTGGAATCAAAAGAATCAAATTTGATATTATTTTCAGACTGAATAATTATAAAAAAAATAGGACCACATTCGCCGTTTGGTCACCAAGATAAGATCAAATTAAAATAGAATTTTTTTAAGTAATAATCAAATTAAAAATTATATTAAAATATAATCAAATTAACTAAAATAGAATTAATCTAATTAAATACATTTAAAACACGATATTCTTTGATTACTTTTTTTTTGTTGT